CATGATTTCTACATCATAACATCAATTAAAACCATTAAAGCACTTACTTTGATGCCTCGTACCTCTTTCTAATAACAAAATACACACGTTAGTAACTTCAAGGAAAATAATAAATCAAACAATTAAATTAAATAATTGAAATAGAGATTTGGGACCAAACCCTCAGAAATTAAACCTTTCACGTCTAGGGCAAAGGCAACTTCGAATATGGCTAGGTGTTTCTAGATCTTGTGAATGCGGAATTTTGTATGTGAAAACAAAGTTTAAAGAAGAGAATTGAAAGAGAATTAATGATTGTAGATGAATGATGGATGTAGATGAGAATTGGTGAATGAAAACGGAGTTTTTAATACGATATTTATAGAGAAAATCAGCCAAAAAGATAAATTAAACAAAACACAGTCTGACGCATAGAAAACAGAGCTGGCGCCACCCTTGGCTAGTTGGCGCCAGGCACCAACACTAGCGCCAGGCGCCAAGGCCCGGGGTTAGGCGCCAAGCCTGTTTTTAACGCGTTTTCGAAAATCAGATTAGTTTACCGTACTGGAGGATAAAATCATATAATTTCTTCGAAAATGCTATTTGATTTTGATTAAAACTCTGAAAAGTCAACAAAAGTCAATTTATCAATGCTAATTGAATTAGGAATGAAAAGAACCTTCTAGAAGATTCTAGAAGACTAAAACCATTCCTAATTGCATTAGGAATGATAAATCATATTAGGCCCTCCCCTAGATTATTGGGCCATATATAAAGCTCAAACTAGGCCTAGTTTAGTAAATTGGCCATAACTTCCTCAATATTCATCGGAATTGGGCTTATAATATATCGTTGGAAAGGTCTTTACAAGCCCCATCCAACTACACTACTATTGGACCCATATCATGGACCAACCAAACTGGATCGGCTGTTTTCTTAAAATAAGTTTTCAAAAACAGAGAGAAGAGAAAAGAAAATAAAACTATCCGCAACACTAGACTTTCCACACTTTCACTTCATTCGATTATGATTCGACGCGAAAGGTACTCATCACTAGGTTTGGTTTTGGGGAGACACAAATGGGTGTCTACACCTATAAAATAGGCATCTACTTTATTTTACTCGTATTCTTGTGTGCTTTCTGACTAACATGCAATCATTAGATTAACCCTAAACCTGTTTATCTATGTTGGTTGAATATTAATGCACAAACAAAACTATTATTGGCGATCACTTGAATTATAATCATATTAACCTAAACAAGATTGTTAATTATCTTATTAAGCGTGATAACAAGTACAAATTCCCTTTAAACATGCATAAAAGGCGTGATCAAGCAATAATATAAATATACATCATCAAGAAACATAATAATAATCATCATAACAACTATAATCATAATAACAATCATAATTACAACAATCATGTTAAGGCATAATAATATTAGCAAGATCCTGGCATAATACTAACAAGATTAATAACAAACCCTAGCATGTCACTAAGCATTAAATATCAAAGCTTTAGCCCTAACATGATACTAACATGATATTAGGAAAGAAATAGGAAGCATCAAAGAAATCATAATTGATATTAGAAACTTAATTATTACCCTAAACATGATACTAGGAAGTAATAAAACATCCTAACATGATACTAGGAATCAAAATAATAATCTAAGCATGATTTCTATATCAAAAGATCAATGAACAATTAAAGTACTTACTTCAATGCCTCGTATCTCTTTCTAATAACAAAATACACATGTTAGTAACTTCAAGGAAAATAATAAATCAAAACAATTAAATTAAATAATTGAAAGAGAGAGTTAAAAAGTTTAGACTGGATTTGGGACCAGACCCTCAGAGGGTATCAACCTTTCACGTGTAGGGTGAAAGGCAACTTCGAACTTGGATAGGTGTTTCTAGTGCTAATGAGTGCGAAATTGTGTTTGTAAAAGGGTTAGGCTAGAAAGAGGGAGAGAGAATAAGCTTTAGATTAGAGAGAGAGAAGAATTAGAGAATTCTGGTTGAGAATTGGTTATTGAAAACGGAGGTCCAAAGACCCTATTTATAAGAAAATAGTCCGGAATCCGATAGTAAAGAGTTAGAGTTTCAAACGGAGTAAAACAGCATCTTGTCGCCAACGACAGGGCTCGTCGCCAGGCGACAAGCTTGGCGCCTAGCGCCAGGCGACGAAACTGTCGTTAGGCGATGCAAGGGATTTCAACACGTTTTTCACACGGAATCCGATTCTCAATATAGTTAAGTCGTAAAATCCGTGTCATGGGTAAAATCGTATTTTCATATAAAACACTTATTTTATTCCAAGTAAAACTCGTAAACGATATTATCAATCCTAATCCTACTAGGATAAAAAAAAAAAAAAAAAAAAAAAAAAGAACCTTCTACATGATTCTAGAAGACTATAATCGATCCTACTAGCTTTAGGAATAATATTTGGCCCTCCTCTAAATCATTGGGCCGCATATAAGAACCAAATCGGGCCCAGTTTAGTATTTTGGCCATAACTTCCTCATTATTCATCGGAATTGGGCTTATAATATATCGTTGGAAAGCTCTTTTCGAGCCCCATCCAACTACACCATTATTGGACCCTTGTTAAGGACCAAATTGAACTGCACTGGCTATTTTCATAAAATAGAGCAGGTTTTCGAAAACAAAAAGAAAGATATTTTATAAAAACTAACCGCAACACTAGACTTTTCACACTTTCACTTCATTCGATTATGATTCGACGCAAAAGGTATTCATCACTGGGTTTGGTTTTGGGAGACACAAATGGGTGTCTACACTTAGCGATTAATGACAAAAAAAAACCCAATGACCACCACTTGTAGAGATCGTGCATCCATTAAGCATTTTTTAGTTTCTTGAAGCACATTTGGATCCATGTTCTTACTTGAAGCATATTGGCATCATGTGGAGATTTACTAGGTATAACATCAAAAGAAATAAAATTCTTAAGAATCACTTTCCACACATAACGAAATCGATAATGATACTTTAAACAAATGTCAATACTAAACCAACTCAAACCAAGTAAGAACAAGAATAAACAAAACATGGAATAAGAATTAATAACTCTTGAAAACTCTCTCTTAAGGTGGACAATCTATAAATAAACTAAAGTAGCAACCGCTGACGTTATCGTTCCCCCAAACCTGTACACGTGTCAACTTATTATGAAAAATTTTCTCGCCCAATTGTATGGCTTATTTTAGAAAAAAATAATAATAAATTATCATTTAAAGCTATAGCAGTAAACTATTATTTACTAAAATAATTGGATTTAAATTAGTATAGTTGTTTTTGTATTTATCCCAAGTTACTATACATTTTACATAAATCAATAATTTAAATTACAAGTAATTAAATAAATGGAGTACTATTTTCCTAAAAGGTAGGGATATTAACGGATATTTGTTTTTCTAACTCCGAATTCATATTAATGATTGGTTTGCTTTTATATAATGATTAATCATATTGTTGGGGTTGCTTCTTAATACTAGAATTTTTTTATTTTTTTTTCAAATCAGAATATTTTCTTAATACAAAAATTTTGTGTATGTGTGTGTGTGTGTGTTTTTAGAAATCATACACCTTAATATTTTGACATACTATTGAACGTGTTGTTGATGATACTTTTTTTTTCTTTCAAAGATTGATAAATTGAACTTTGTAATATTTCTCTGTATTTGATAATTTGGGTGTTGTTTCATATAATTTTAAGTTAGCCACTACAGGTAAATTATATTGAAAGAGTTTTATTTTTTTTTATTATTGAAATAGTTGATTGTATTTATTATTATTATTATTATTATTATTATTGAAATAGTACGTTGATTGTATCATTAGTAATATATCACTTAACAACATAGGCTTATGATTTTATCTAAGGCAAAAATGTGGAGATATTAAAGTAAAATTAACATTAATTATCCGATTGATGTGTGATTTTGTCATGCATTACAAACTTAATACGGAGTACTATTTTAAGTGCAATAATATATTAATTAGTTATATAATGCCTCACTTGAGAAGATTATTTGTAGAGTATATGTGAGTTCAGCACTACGTAGTACAAATTTATTTGTTAAAACCGTGCATTGCACGGGGCTAATCTAGTTAAAGAATAAAATAATCTACCCATTGAATTAAATAATAATTCAAACAGTATCATACTTCAAAAATTCATCACAAGGCTAACACAACTTAGTTAACACACTATATATAAAATAGCCACCAAAAGAATTTCAAAAGCAAAATTAATAGAAGTCGTACAATCATATATATATTATTCAACAAAAACTATAAATATATGTCACAACTAAGAGTCACAAAAACAACAGTTGATCTATTCACAAAGGCATTACCACCTAGCAATCCAAAGTGTCATACATGGTTCATGATTGGAAAGATTTTTGCGATGATATGATGTTAGTAGTTCATGTCATCACTTGAGTAGAATATGTGTTGTATTAGCATGAATTATGTGTACTTTCAAGATATCTTAAAGTATGTCTTGAGTGGATTATGCTAATACGCTTAGCAATGTAATAAATAGTGACATGCATTGCAATCTATTTTAACATAGCTTATGTTTGTGAAATGATATTTTACAAATTCTATTAGTGAACACTAGTAGAAAAATATAAATGGGCAGCCTAAATGGGAAGCGGTTATTGAATACCGCTTCCACAAACCCATAGAAACCCGTTAAAAAAAAACAAAACTGAAACATATTTAATGGCAAGTGGTTCAACCTAAAACCGCTTGCCATTCCAAAAAAATAAAAAATTAAAAAATTAAAAAAAAAACCCTAAAACTAATAATACGAGTAGCCGCCCACCCTTAGCCGATCTCCCTTCATTTTCCCATTATTCTCTCTCCTCTTTCTTGACTCTCATTTTCGCTGCTCTCTCTCTCTCTCTCTCTCTCTCCTCTTCCATCTCTCCCGTTCTCCCTCTCTCTCCTCTTCTTTTCCCTTTTCATCTTCGATCTCCTTCTCTCTTTTCTGTTCTTTTCTCCTCTCTTCGTTCACTTTCTCTTTTTCTTTGTTCTTTCTCATCTCCACAGATAGCCTTCGATTTCCTTCGAGCTCCAATACTTTAGCAGTAAGGTGGAATTCAACATGTATTTTTAGGGTTTTAATTTCAAAAACAAACTACAGGTTTTTCATGTCAAATTTGACCATGAAAACTCTAGATCTAGAGTTTTCATGGTCGAATTTGACCTATAAAACACAAATTCAAGCTAATTTCGGGGTTTTGGTGGAATTCAAGGTATGTTCCTTTTGTTCTTTCTTTAATTTTGTTTTTTGAGATTTTTTTAAAAAAATTTTTGGTAATGTGCGGTTGTTTCAGGCGAATCGTGATGGGTGAGGTGGTTTTGGTGGGGGTCGAGATGGGTGAGATGGTTTTGGTGGGGGTCGTGATGGGTGAATTGATGTTTCTTTAATTCTGTGATTGTTGTCATGTATTATTACTCCGTATTTGATTTGAATTTTATAATTTATAATTGAAAATGTACCCTTTGATTAATTTTTTCTCATTTTTTTGGAGTTATTTGTTTTTTTGTTTGGTGTTGATGAATCTGGTGATACGTAAAAGGGGGATGTCCTGGTGTCTTGTTGGTGGTGCGCGTGGCTAAGGGTGGGTGTTTGTTGGTGCGCGTGGCTTAGGGTCGGTGGCGGCAGTGTGGCTGAAGTCTGGTGGTTGCACAAGAGCAGCAACAATTTAAATTAGAATGTATTTTTTTTTATGAAGGTGTAATATTAAAACAAGTGATTAATGAAAATATTTATGTTTATACATATTCTAAGTGTTTGTATATCAATTTAAGTGAAAAAAAAAATTATTTTTTATAGACATGCATAATGGGTAGCGGTTTGGCGCCAAAAGAACTGCTTGCCATTTAAAAGGCTAATGGCAAGCATCTTTTACTAAGTATCTTTTTAGGTACAAAGGTTGTGAAATACACTAGTTTTCGGAAAAAGTTATTCAAAAAGTTTCTAGAAGACAAGTGTTGGAGATTGATGGTTGATGAAGTATGTTCACTAATGCGACGGTTATGTTATTGTCAAGGATTGAACTTGATTGAATAAGTGTTTGAAATTTCAAGTTTTGGGTTTTTGTTACTTTTTTCATCTAAATGGGGAATGTGACATATTGTTCTAACCATTTGCGCAAATTAAGTTGATGTTGGTGACATGCTAGTTTTCCTTATTGGAAAAGTATTCTAGCAAAAATAATTTTGCACTATGGTAAGGAAATTTGGAAATGTATCAATCCTTGATAACTTGTGGAAATGTCGAGGGGGATAGGTCTTAAGCCCATATGGAAAGATTAAAATCTTTGCTTTCCTATTCCTATGGCATGTATTGTAATGCTTGGATGAGGTTGAGCTCTTTTGAGTTCTTAATGGATCAATAAACCATTTAGGTTGATGTTGTACGAGACGTACTTGATTGATCCACCGTTTGAGGTTGAGTTCATTAACTCTTAATGAATCCAATTGTTTGAGTGGACACACTAAAACTTTGGATCACCTTTGTTTATGATAATTGTGAGGTTGATCAATAAGCTCTTAATGAATTTGTGGTCTTGTGGGGGTTAATGGCTACAATGTAGCATTCGTTGAGTTCTTATGAACATGTTTTAACCCCGTTGGCTAAATACTTTTGAGAAGCGCTTGTGATTCACCTATGTGGTTGTGAAGACTAGCCATCTTCTATGGAAAATTTGGGCAAATTTCCTGGAGCTTCCACTAGATCTAAGGTGAATATGCTTGGCTATAAAAGAGCATATCTCTTCGCGAAATTCAAGTAAATTTTTAGATAAAGGTATGTGATGTGGGGGTCTTAAATTAAATCTTGGAGTTTCAAGGATTAGTCCACTCCTTGATCAAGAGTCTAAGGGTTTCAAGGCTTGTCCACCCTTATACTTGTAATTCATTGTCTTATCTCATTAAGCACTAGATTTCAAATTACTTATGTTTTTTTTTTGATGCATTTTAAATTACTTATGTAATATCTAAGTGTTATATATTGATCTCCTCTTATGCCCAATATGTTGCTTCTAATCTTTTTGGTCTTTTTCTTTAGTGGGGGATTATTGTGTTAAAGGAAGGAAAAAACAAGTTTAAAGGAGTATTTTTCATTTTCTTGCTTGCCCTGGTTGTCAGGGCAATTCCACCCTGGTAGGGTGGAAGAAGGTAGAAACTATTTTTCAAGAAAAATGAGAAATCTCATTTGCCCGGGCAAGCTCACCCGGTCCGGCGCGAGAAGCCACGTTTGGCAGGGCTTGCTCGCCCGGTCGGGAGTGGTCTTGCCTGGTCCGGGCAAATGGGATACCGAATTCTTAAGCGTCTTTTAGTCTTCTTCTTGGATTCCTTTCTTGTTCTCTTTTGACTCCTTGTAACACCCTCACTTAAGAAGATGATTATGGTGATTAAATCTTCATCTTTATTCTGATTTATTCACCCCTCATTGATGCTTGAGATTTTTCTATGATCTTCCATGTTCTTCCATCCTTCTATATAAATGGAAGACTTATTTTCTGATTTTCAATATACTTGATAATAATCATCAAACACTGTAGCTTAAACATATACTCTATATTGGGCATAAGTTACTTGGCTCCAACCTTCCACCCAAAAGTGCCTTTGTGTGGAAGTGGTGTGTTAACCTTAGGGAACGTGCCGGTGAATACAATTGTGCACTCTGGTTGTGCCGGAATTTCGTTTTCAATTCAGTGATTTGCATCACGACACACCATACTCTTTCATTGTCATAAGATCATCTTTTCGATTTTCTTATTTTAATTTCTATATAGCCTTGAAAATACTTCTTATATTACAACAGGTTTTAATGAGACAAGTTAACATATAGGTACAATAGCGGTAATATTTACTTTTGCATAAATGTAAGTTTTAGATAGGAGTCATCCTATAGAAATCTGCTCAAGGAGGAGTGTTGTAATACGCATCGTATGTGTAATATGAACGGCTTAAGGATACCGTCAAATATCACCGTTTAGCTTCTCGTGCAAGAGTAAATATCGCCGCTCAAAACCTCATGATGGATTAGACATTTCACTGAATGTTTAATATATCGAGTAAACACTGTTCATGCAAGGGTACTATAAATTCCCGTATAATCTGAAGGAAAAATACACAACAATTATTGGAGTATCTAAAATCTTTCTTTTGATCTCTTTGAAATCCTTTGTTGTAAAACAAAATATCAATTTTTGGAATTGTACGCATAAGGTCAATGAACCAAATCCCCTCATAATTGGTTAAATACTTTTTTTTTAACGAATAAAATTGGTCAAATACTTTTTTTTTAAAGCAAAATTGGTCAAATACTTAAGAGATGAAGTAGCACTCAAAAACTGATATCAAATCCCGTCTAAATTATTTCCCCTCGTATCTTGTGGCTGAAACACAAGCCATCCCCAATTCCCTATCCCTAATCTATTAAGTACTACTAAAACAAAACATTGCTGACATCATCAACCTTTAAACTATCCTATGTGTTATCCACGCATTAAAAACTTTCCCTCCAATTCTATGTGTGATATCATCAATCACTAATATTTTTTTTTTATTATTATTTTTTATTTTTATCTACACTTATAAGTGTATATAGAATTTAATAAATCAAGTTTCTCTCCTAAATTATACTCATATTGCACATACATAATTTGTTTGATATTTAAACGTGGTTTCAATTTTTATTTCCTTCAAAGTAAATTATTTTTATATCTAATTATAATCTTCATATACAATGTGCAGTAATGCAACTGAACATAAATTAAAAAAAAAAAGATTAATTTTAATCGGGGATAACCTAAATTATACTCATATTGCACATACATAATTTGTTTGATATTTAAACGTGGTTTCAATTTTTATTTCCTTCAAAGTAAATTATTTTTATATCTAATTATAATCTTCATATACAAAATGTGCAGTAATGCAACTGAACATAAATTAAAAAAAAAAGATTAATTTTAATTGGGGATAACCTAGTTAGGAAATATTAGAGGCTATTGCATTTGCTTAGCTCCCCAAAACAAAAAGAAACACAAGTTTGAAATTTCAGTTATAAATACCCCAAAAAATCAGTTAATCAGATAAAATAATCAAAATTAAAGCAACAATGTCACTCCTCCAAAGCAACTGCTGCTTCAACTCACCTCTTCCTTTGAAACCCAGAAAACACAATAACAATAATCTCCTCTCATTCTCATCCTTCTTTCTCTCTCCTCCAACTTCTAGAATTTTCAGGAACCTTCCATTTACAGCCTCTTCGTTAGAGAATCCTCTGCAACCGGTTTCACTTGATCAAATTACTCCGCCTTTATCATCACCGTTGATTTCAGCTACTGATGTTGTCAGAAATTTCTATGGAGGAATCAACCGCCATGATCTTGCTACAGTCGAGCCCTTGATTTCTGAAAGTTGTGTTTATGAGGATCTTATCTTTCCTCAACCCTTTGTTGGTCGCAAGGTAATTTTTATTTGATTTAATTAATCAATTATTATTCAAATTCATCATTATTTGTTGTTTAATTATGGTTAAATTGTGAGTAAATGTGATTTTGTTGAGTGATATTATGTTTTTTGCATTGATAAGGCTTAATTGTTCTCATAAAAGTTACTCATTTTTATGTGAAAAATAATAACTGTGGAAACAGGAAGAGATTGTAGAGACGGAAGGTTTTTTGAATTTATACAAACAGGAAATTGTCTATGATGATGGTTTTTTTTTTTTTTTTTTTTTTCAAGTGTAGGACAAATAATTATGCGGACAAATGGAATAATCACTTTTGGTTCATCTAGCCAACCCCACTAGCTTTGATTGATTGAAGGACAACTAACTATAATTAGAGAAGGAATGTGTTAAGGGTATTTGAGATTTGACCTATACTGAATTTACAGCATTTACCGCGATAGGTTGGAAATGCCTACACCTCAGTGCATATAAGAATTTGTACTTAGAATCAAGTTTGATAGACAAATATTCTTAAACGGATTTTTAGTCCCATTTCAAGTGTATGTAAGGTTAGTTATTGTTGTTCTTTGGAAAATTTAGTGACCATTTTGGTGAGATAAATGAATGACTCTTAAGAATGAAAGACTCTTGAATAAGGAGTGAAAGAAAGAGAGAAGGGAGACGAGGGGAGAGCTGGGAGAGATGGGAAGAAATTGGCTTGCATTTTTCTTCCAAATGTTTCCAGTATCAAAGAATTTGATTTAGTTAAAGGGGAAGGGAAATTAGCTATTTTTTCTTTTTTCTTTCCTGGATATGGGTAAGATTTTTTCAGATTTTAGGCGAACACCACACATTTAGCTGGTAAAATGCGCTACCAAAGTTGTGTGCCACCTAGTTGTTCTATTCAAATACACGTCTAGTCCTTGTCTGTGATCAGTAGTGATTTATGTTTGTTATTTAAAAGTTAGTCCCTGAGATGGCTTCATGAGTTAAAATGAGACGTGCTAGGCATAATGATCGATAGATACTTTTCTGGGGTAATACAAGCCATTTATGCCTTTTCTGATTTGCTCATAGGCCCTTGGAATTATACTGATTAATACATACATTTGTGGGGGTAATTCAAGTCATTTATGCCTTTTGCGTTGCTCATGGACCCTTGGAATCATACAGATTAATATATACTTTTGTGGGGTAATTCAAGTCATTATTCCTTTTCTGCATTGCTTATAGATCCTTGGAATCATACTGAATAATACATACTTTTGTGGGGTAATTAAAGTCCTGCTTTTTCTGCGTTGCTCATAGACCCTTGGAATCATACTGATTAATAATACATACTTTTGGGGGGTTATTCAAGTCATTTATGCTTTTAATGTGTTGCTCATAGACCCTTGAAATCATACTGATTAATGCGTGCTATTCTTGAAGCGCAAAAATTAAAATATTATCGTGATTCGTGACAACTATCTACTTATACCCTACAAATTAACAATCCCTGTCTTAGACACCTTGAAGAGACGTATCAAAATCACAATTCGCAAAATGAATCTGAACTCCTTTCAGGCTCCATTTCTTGCTAGTTGATCTCCTACCTTATAATTACATGTTTTACACCAATTTCTTCAGCATCCATCTAAATGCTGAAACCATCTAATATCCATCGATCTTTCCCTTTGTACTTTTTAGCTATCTTGGGACTTTCATGATTTTATCGAGCAATTTCAAAATTCAGTTGATTTTGAGGTATGACAAACTCCCGGTGTGTATGGATTATGAATTGGCTTTAGAAAATGTCATTTACAATGAAGTTACCCTTATCCTAGTCCATAAGATTAATATGAATAATGAAGAAGGACCTCTGATAATTGGTAATCTCTTCTTGTCTTGTTTACGAAACCTTGCTCACCTGCTGGACATGTTTTCCTGAGTGAAGTACAGCCTTAATTACATAACTAAATTCCCTAGTAAAAACTTTGGCGCTTGTTTAAAACTGGTAGAATCCTGGGAACTGTGACTCTGAGTCTCTTCTAAAATGTAAGGCAATAGAATATATTGTGGGCTAATCTCATGTCTTACTGATTCTACTTTGTAGTCAAGGTGCATCTAACAATTGACTGCTGACATAGCTATTTAGCTGTTACTGACTTTAGTCAATGTGTGCTTGTTCACCTTGTTGGATAACAATGATGGTTCAAGGATGCTACATGAGTATCTTCTGATAAATTTTACGATCTATGGGTTAAGATGGTTCTAGAATGCTACAAAACAGATTTGCATGTTTAAATGGTATAAAAGACATTGTCCTTTAATTTATACTTCACAACTTTTATCTATGATCTTATCAATATTGTCAATCCCATCTATTTATTCATTCTTTAAGAAACTTCACTTTTTACTTTTTGGTTTCCACAGTCTATCCTGGAGTTCTTTGGGAAATTCATAGATTATGTCAGCACAGATTTGCAGTTTGTGATTGATGCTATTTCTGAGGAAGATTCATCGACTGTTGGTGTGACATGGCATCTGGGTATTTTGGAAATTATTTGAATTGCTGTTCTTTCCTATGTTATTTGATACAATTGGATGCAACTCACTGAAGAAATAATGACAGAATGGAATGGAAGACCTTTTCCATTTAGCAAAGGTTGCAGCTTTTATCAATTGAAGGTAATCAATGGCGTTCGACAAATAATGTAAGTATCTTTTTACTCTTTTCTTTATAACTGGCTGAACATATATTTCTTATTGTCTGTGTCAATCTAATCTATGCTACTTGGATTTGGGTTCCATGTCTGGTATGCATCCAAGTGTCCTACTCGACTATTTTCTTTTAAAAAAAATCCATAAAAAAAATCCATAAATCTGGTCTGTAATCAAGTGTCCACATGTCCTACCCATGTCTTAGTGGTGAGTGTCTGAAACGAGTAGAGGCGAAATGAAGAGTTCAAGTAACATGGGATCTAGTATTGTTTTGTTTCCATCAAGTAGAGGTGAAATGAAGAGCTCAGGCAAACATAATGACGAACATATTGTTATTGTGATAGTCTAATTTGCTTTGTTTAAATACGAACATATTGTCCTAAGCTCTTCGATGGGCTCTAGTTTAGGATTACCATCGAATAACCGTATACTCTGACTCAACAACACTGGTTTACTGAGGAAGAATAAGAGTACAATAGTCACCTTTTTTTGGCCCTTAAAGAGGAAAATGGGAGTTCTCTTCCAAAGTTATATCGTATGGAAGGTAGACAGTTTCAACAGGGAATATCAATTGGCAAATGGTTGTAGACTTAATTTATGAATTTTACTAGTGCGTAGTTTGTATTTCTAGCTGTCAAAATATAAAAAGTAAAACAAATAATGTTAAGAAGTTAAAGCCTGCTAATGATTGTTTAAAGCTTTAGGGTGATGATATTTACAATTTCGAATAGAATTATGTTAGGGAATAGGGAGTGAGTGTGTGTTTGGGGTAAATATGAAACAATGTGTACTAGGTATCCATTGCTTTTTTTTTGTAGAGAAAGTGACTTTTTCGCATGTTTACCACTTTACTATGAATGTTTTCTGTTTATAAAACAGCTATGCTCGAGACAGTGTGGAACCTGCAATTAAACCTGGAGAATCAGCTTTGGTAAGTTATAAGTTGATGGATCTTTTCAACTGATGTATTATTCTTAAGTTTCTCTTACATCATACCTCACCATATTGACCAAATTATCATTTTAACCTAACCAATCTGCTTTATTGAACCTTAACTAAGGCAATTATACCTCATACCTTCGTCATACTGTCATACCTGTTACTAGTCCCTCGAGAGTGTAACTCTCCTTAAGTGATCTTCCAAAATCCATGACCTTGTGGATTTAGTAAAATTGTTTGGCAGCCTAAAAGTGGGTTGGATGAGACTTGCTATCAAGATATTGCTCTTCTCTGCTACTTAATGATTGTCTACATAGTATTACAATAAAATTTACTCTGATAGTGATATGGTTCTAAACAGACTGCAATCAGAGGTGTTACGTGGCTGCTGCAGCGATTTCCAAACCTTGCAGAACGGTTTTGATAAATGACCATGGAATCACCATATGACTTTGGAGTGATTTTCCTGTTGCTTTTGCAACGTTTTTACAGAAACAGACTGCATAGGCTGATGCATGTTCTGAAAACAATTCCTTGTATATTGCCAATATTGATGAACAAAAACCCAAAAGGTTGGGCCGTCTCCTGTCCCCGTGCCGGTGGGGAATCCGCTCCCGATTCGTCGCTCTGCTACGTCTAGCCCGAGCTAATTAATATATTTTCTCTTATAGTGTTAAGAAATAATGGTAGTACCTTAATTAACTAGCTTTTGGACTCGTTTTACACACATATTGTGTATAAGTTATTATTTATACTTAGAACTTACAAATTACTTGAATTACCTTTTTTTAATCAGCTTTTGACATATTAGAAACATCGACTTAAAAAATTGTTTAATCAACTTCTATTATTGTAGGGTAGTTAATCAATAATTCGTATAAAAAAATAAATTAATTATCAAACCTTGTCATAATTTTATATTTTTAAATCAAATAAAAATCTCTTTACCAAATCAATTTCTCTTAGAGTGCACTTAGGCTCTATTCTTTAAAGCTACTCTGCTCTACCCTGCTCTGTTTAAAAATAATACTTAATATTGAATTATTATAATAATAATAATTATTATTATTTAAATATAATAATAAATAATTCATAGTTAATAATAATAATAATTAATATTTAATAATAATAATAAATAATTAATATTATTAATAATATTATTAAAAAATTAATATTTAATAATAATAATTAATATTAAATAATTAATATTTAATAATTATAATATTAAGAATATAATTAATTAATATTTAATAAAATAATAATAATAATAATAATAATAATAATAATAATAGTGAAAATAATAATAATAATAATATTTTCTCAAAAATAAAAATAATGACAATAATAGTAATAATAATACTTATTATTAATAATATTATTAATACTAATAATAATAATTGATTTTTTATAATAAAAATTAATATTTAAAGATTATAACTAATATTTAAATATAGTACTAATTTTTAATTTTTAATAATAATAATAATAATACTAATAATTTATAATGTTTAATAATTATTTATAATAATAATTAATATTTAATAATAATATTTAATAAATATAATAATAATGCAATAATAGTAATAATAGTAGTAGTAGCAGTAATAATAGTAATAGTAATAGTAATAGAGGCAGCAGGGTAAAGGGGGGATAGTTGTCCCCCCAATTCAAAAAAAAAAAAAAAGTCATAAATAATTGTAATATTATATCTTACCAAATGAGATGGTGTAGTGGTAAGAGCCTTGAGTTATTATTTGAAGGATCTAGTGTTCGATCCTTGCTAGAGGCTTTTTTTTTTTTTTTTTTTTTTTTTTTTTTTTTTTTTTTTGTATAGCATAGTATTCTTTCATTTATTTTCTAAACAATTACTCCATATATTATTTAAGTAATTATTATTACTATAATTTTGCATAAACAAAACCTCAATATTATGGTTGTGATTAAAAAAAAAAAAAAAAAATTCTCTAGTGGAAGAATTGGTATACAATGTTGGATTATTTGAGTTGTAATACATTACCTAGTTAGCTATCCGTGAGTAAAAGTATAGGTTTTTGTCAAAATTTTGTGATATTTATTTGTCCCTTCGATTTGCTTCTAGACAAATGTAAAGGGGGAGGAGGACATGTGACATTTTTTATTTGTGTTTTTAATACTAAGTATAGACTAAGTATAGATAGATAAGGCTTGCTTCTTTTAATTAATAGGGAGAGTGAGGAATGGCTCAAGTGGTTAGAGTTTTCCTTTTGATTTTAAGAGATCATGAGATCGATTCTTACCTTGCCTTTTGTGGCTTTCTTAAAAAAACAAACACAAAGTTTCATATACGGCTAGCCGTACGGTGTGGCCAGCCATATATATATTTTTTTTAAATTTTTCTTCTCTCTCCTGTTTTCAACATTTTCTACAAATTTATTTATCTCCCCTCTGTTCTTCTTCCATCTTCTACAACATTTTCCTTTTTCCTCCAATTTTATTCCTCTCTTATCTTTTTTCTTTAAACTTCATTAATGGTGTCATCTTTTTAGCCCAAATTTCTTCAAACTTCATTAATGGTTTGCTTTTGGAAATTTATGTTCTACGAATTTTATGTTGAATTCAAGCTTATTTGCGAAGATTTTGATTATATATCTTGTAAGTTGTTAAATTTTATTACTTAATTTTTTGTTTAATTGAAGAACGAATATAGTGGTGGTTTCGTGGGTGGGTAGTGGTGGTTTTGTGGATGGGTGGTGGTGGTTTCGTGGTTCTGGTTCTAGATCTGGTTTCGTTGGTGGTTTAGGTTGGTAGTGGTTTGTTGGTGGTGGTTGTTGGTGGTAGTTTTTTGTTGGTGGTGGGTAAGGGGTTACTAGATCCAGTCAGGGGTTACTAGGTCCAGTCAGGGGTTACTAGGTCGGCGGTCAGGGGTTACTAGGTTGGGGGTTACTAGGTCGGTTAGGGGTTACTTGGGGTTATAACTAGGTCAGGGGTTACTAGGTCGGGGGTTACTTGGGGTTACTAGGGGTTACTAGGTCGGGGGTTACTAGGTCAGTCAGGGGTTACTTGGTCAAGGGTTACTAGGTCAGTCAGGGGTTATTTTTGTCTTAGGGTTACTTTATCTGTGAGTTACTTTGTCATTTTTCTGATTTGGTACCCTGCCGCATGGTGCGGCCACAGAAACACACTGAAAAACAAAACAAATTAGAAACAAAATAATATCACCGTTTAATACTAGGGTTGTGGAGTATCTTCAATCATGGAGGAATTTCCCTTCCTTCGGTTTATAAAAAAATGCTAAAAAATATTTTTATAGGGCCCAACTGCCCAACCGGTGATCGGGTGATTTGGCACCATTAAATGTATATATTATATAGGGGAGTACTAAATGCAGGCATAATTTTACCTAAATGCAGAATAAATTATTTTTTTAAAAAAAAATTATATTCCATATCTGCCCTTGTTTTAATTTAATCCCTTACACTTTTTTTAAGGATTAAAATTAAATCCTTAACACTCCTAACTATATAAACATCCCTACCGTTTAATTTACAACCATATTCTAACGTATTCAACCTTTTATCCTATTAAATATTCAATGCTATACAAATTCATGGATAATAATAAAGTGCATTACGACGATTTTTTTGAGATATGAAAATTATGTGCTGTAAATTTTTTTTCTTCGCAAAATCTAAGTTATAGATGAACAATCAAACAAAATAAAATTTCCATCTTAAACGGAACTTTTTATTCATGGGCATGTATCACGGTGCCGGTTGTGTTGCCGGGGCTCAACAGTACCCCCCGGCTATGATTTCCGGGGGTCAACAATACCCCCGACTACGATTTCCGGGGGTCTCCAGCACCCCCTGACTACAATTTCCGAGGGTCTCCAGCACCCCCCCGGCTATGATTTCCGGGGGTCTTTAGTACCCCTTGGAAATCATAGTCGGGGTAAAATGTACCCCTTGGAAATCATAGCCGACTGTGAACGACTTCTTCGTCTCTACGGCTTAGATTGAAAAATTTTGAGGGAAATGATGAAATGAAATGAATAGCAAAAAAAAAAAAATGGCGACTGAAATGGTGAATGAAATGGAAAAAAATAGGGAATGAAATGAATCACAAAAGGGAAAATGTAAAAAATAAAAGTCTGGTGAAATGACAAATCAATTTTTTCATTTTGGAAAAGGGTATTTCAGTCTTTTATTATTTTCTTATCATTAATTAATTTCTACATTTAGGTTATTTTGTTCTGCATTTAGTACTTGCGATTATATAAAAGCATCGTGACCTCATTCATTCGCGTAAAGTCGTAATCATCGTCATTTTCTAATCTAATTTACGTAGTATTAAGAAACAATGTATCTTTATGATCTGATTTATACTTCGTCCTAATTAGAGCCACCTTGTTAGTACAATTTTAAAATTTTGAAGGAGTCCTATACTCTTATGTATCTATTAACACGATATTAAACATCAGAATATCTGATTTTATAAACATTTCAACCAACACCTTATAAAATCTAATTATTATTAATTATAAATTCCACCCAAATCATCCAAGATCATAAAGTATTCGGTTATATTCCATATTTTTGTAAATTCTAAAATTTTAAGATTTTGAGTACTTTCACAGGTTGATTCATGTATTGTATGTTACAAACGTATCATAATAATATACACCATTGTCATCATATCTACATATATTTGATACTAGAATTACAAGCATATACTGGAATTTAACTATAAATACAGGTAACATATATTGAACATAAAATTCAAGTTACAACTTAAAAAGAAAACCAATCATCTTATATGAACTAGTTTTGTTCAATTGAAAATAAAAAATCATCAAACAAAAAAATATTTCAAGTTCTTCGATTGTGGAAAATTTAATGGAGATAGGGTGGTCAGTTTGGATGGTGTTGACTTTTATTTTGGGAGGTTTATTGGCATTTTTTGGGCTCCTAAAAAATGCAAATGAGTGGTTTTATGTGAGGAGTTTAGGCAAAATGAAAGGACAACTTCCTCCTGGTGATATGGGATGGCCTTTCATTGGCAGTCAAATGTCTTTCCTTAAGGCCTTTAAGTCTGATAACCCGGATTCCTTCATCTCCACCCTTGCCGAAAGGTTTCCCTTTGTCACTCTTACTCGATTTTTCTATTGTTTGGTCACTCTTGTTGTTCTGTGCGTATTCCTGTTTCGGATATCCCTTAGTTAACATTTATGTTGTACAGAGATAATTTGAGGGTTAGCTCAAGTGGTTAAAGCTTCCCTCCCGGTTTTAGGTGATTCTTGGATCGATTCTTATCACCCACCCTTGTGGCTCTCTAAACACACACACACAAAAAGAGAGGAAAAACAATATATGTGCTGTACATGTAACTTTTATTATAAGATAAGTGGACTTATTCTAATCTGTCATCGACTATATAATTAACATATTACTTGGATAAAAATTTACAGATTTGGGCATACAGGAATATACAGAGCTGTAATGCTTGGAAAACCCTGTGTCATAGTAACAACGCCTGAATCATGCAAAAAAGTTTTATCAGATGATGCAACTTTTGGGCCTGGTTTCCCTGAATCAATCACCAAACTCATGGGGAAAAAGGCATTTCATGGTATCACACCGGAAGAACACAAGCGACTTCGAAGGCTTACCACGGCTGCCCTTAGTGGCCAAGAGGCATTGTCCATTTACCTCAAGCACATTGAAGAAATCACAATCACTTCACTTGAGGAATGGGCTGGCATGTCAAGACCAATCGAGTTCTTGACTGAGATGAGGAAGATTGCCTTCCAGGTGATCATGTATGTTATGGTGGGTGAGACGAGTACTGATCATTCCATCACGGAGGCCTTGGAAAAGGAGTACACTACTTTGAATCATGGACTGAAGTCTATGGCTATTGACCTACCGGGCTTTGCTTATCACAACGCCCTTAAGGTTATTAAACTCTGGATTTTTCAGTATCCTTGTCGAACTTCACTCTTTTTCGAGTTTTTTTTTTTTAAATCTGTAATTTTTGAATCAGGCCAGGAAGAACTTGCAGAAAATATTTCTGGGGGTCGTAGATACAAGAAGGCCTCAATCCCTCTAGTCATTTCAGAAAGCCACAGCATGAATGCATGATGGGTGATCTATATTCCTCCACAATAGAAGATGCTACTATGCTAGCGATGTAAACACCACTTCATATCAAATATCGATTGTGTCTTGGTTTTTAGTATTCAACTACATGAGTAAGTATAGACCACTACCAGGTATGGATAGTTGGAGTCCATACCACAATAAAAAAATATGTAAAAAAAATTGTAAAATTTAAAAAGCTAAAACAAAATGGAAAAGGAAGAAGGATTAGAGGGTGAAAAAAACAGGAACTCAAAAAACTACCACTCACGAGAAAAAGCTCCGATGGTCGGAAAATCAGTCCCACAAAAACCCCATCAAAGTTGCAGGAATCTTCCCTTCAAGGAGCGGTGCTCGATGTACTGAAGGTGAGAATTTTGTGGCTGATTCAAATTAAAGGAGTTATTCGAAGGTTGGTTGATGAAAGATGATACTCGAAGGTTGACGAAGAATGTTCAAGGTCTATACTTACAATTGCAACCATGAAAAACGGTGGGTTCAATTCCCAGAGATCAAAAGATTTTGGATATGAGGGGGTAGAGGTTGGTTGTCGGTGCTCCATTATTATTGACTTGTATACTGTTATTATTGAATTGTATACTGTTATGGTTAATTTTAATACAGTTGTCATAGAGTTGAATACTGTTATTGTAGAATTGTAAGAGGAGAGAGAATTTTTTTTACACCATAGTACAATATGATGACTTGCCATGGAAATATTGCGCAAAATTACATATTTGCCCCTGGTATGGACCCAATGAGTCCATACCTGGTAGTGGTCTATCACTACTCTCAACTACATAATAAAAATCCTCTTGGAGTTGATGATTCAAGAATGATCTGGTCTCGACTTATACATCCAACTATCCAAATACCCAATTAACCAGACTCATTTGAAAGTGCATCGAAAAAAATGTTTGAAAATTTTACGGAGTAAATTTCAAGCAAATAACTCAAATTCAAGTTGCATGTCAAATAAGTATTAATATAATAACAATTATAAAATACATGATGTCAAAAAAAAAAAAACAATTATAAAATAAAAAATTATGATCATCCTTTTTTACGGTGAGTTATGAGCTAGTGATCGAACCTCTGCAATTATTAAGTGGAAGATACAAAATAAATTGAGCAATGAATTTCCTGATACATGCTATTAAAATTTCCTATACGGCTTTATGCACAAAAGAATGCCTACTATAAACTAACATTACAAGATGGAGAAAATCATCTCCTTTAGCAGTAGAGATCCTCTACTCCATTATGCGCCTCATCTTGAGTCCCTCTGCTTTTTTTTTTTTTTTCAATATTAATGCCCCAAATCATCTACAATAACCTATGCATTAAAATTTTCTGGTTTTAAGTTGGTCATGTGTCAAAACCCGAATGAGGACACAATGAGAAACTATTTGAGACATTCAAAGTTGTGTTGTGAATCCTTCAAACGAAGAAGAAAGTATTTTGAAGAGTCCATCTGGGTTATCAGTATGTACCTATCAAAGTAACAGAAGATTAGCCAACATGAGATTAGAACACAAACAATGAACACACATACTAAATCATAAACAGGATGGTATTATATCAAAGATTAAAAATCTCATAACAAAAGATCAGTGATGCTGGTACAAAACATCGAAAAAGACACTGCAGAGCAAATAAATTGAGAAGAGATCGATCTACAAAGTTAGTCTTGTAGTAATGCTCATGCTATAGATATTGCCTATCATTATAGCTCGAGTAAACTGTTTCACCAAAAAAAAAAAATACTATTCTACAAGCACTTCAGAAAGACTACTACTGCAAGCTCTTCTGAGTAAAATGTACCACAGCTAGCTTTTTCATAGATTCATATGTGCCCAAATAAGGTTATAGTTTTGCAAACAAGCCATGTGTTCATCAAAAACATCATTCATTTTCCAATGAAAATCTTTGTTAAGTAGAGAAACATATGAATTTGAATTCTAATAAAATAAAGGCAATAATTCAAATTTTTACTTTTGTCTAATAATTGTTCAACTTCCCATTGTTATAACCAAACTTTGTGAAATTCCTAGGAATTTCATGAGGAAATAACTTTCCATGAAATTCAACTTCCTACGGGAATTATTTTCTGTGTCAACCAAACGAAGCCTCAATAATAGGATTATCAGCCGTGTAGAAAAATTCATCAAGCAACTAAGGTGCTTCTTTGTTGGCATAAGGAAAAAAAAAAAAACTCTACACCCCTGATTGGAAAAGAAATGAAAATTTTGAACATGTTGAATAAGTTTAAAAATTATGTTCTCTTCAATCAGTAGAGAGTTTCCTCAAAACCCTCTATTTTGATGCCCACCTCACACCTGAGACTTAAAAACACTCCTCGACACTGATAAATTTTTACGAACCTTGGCCACCACCCTTTAAATCATTCTTATCCTAGAATCCCTATCAGCTCCCACCATCCCAACCAACAAGAAAACAACCCCCAACAACCTAATCCCACCACAGCCCTTCCCCACCAGCCCAACTAAAGCCAATAAAATAAAATGGAGCCTTGACAGAAAAGCAGGTAACAACCATTATTTGTGTGACATACAACCTGCTCAAGTGCTCATATTCTTTGCACGTAACCAAGATGGTCAATATTTACATTAAACACTCACCCAGTGTCCTGCATCTTCAAGAACATGCATTTGCACACCACCTCCCTCATCAACAGCTACCTCCTCAGCAGCATGAATTCGTCGAATATCCTCAAGGGCCCATCTATGCAAGCTCCTCTCTGCTTTTAAAAAATTTACATGCACACCTCGAGGAACATCTTCAACAATTTTCCTGTGCAAAGATCATATCAATGAACAAACTAAGTTAAAACAACTGGAATCAAAACTCTCTAGTGTTCATCGTCAGCTAAAATGCAAATGTTTACTGAATAAATTGTACAGGTAGAGCGGAAAAGTTAAACAAGAAAATGATTTTTTTTCAAAAAGTTTCCATTACCACAAGTTTGTTTCTTCAAAAGAGTGATACATGTCAGCAATTCCAAAGATCAAATACCCATGAGAATGATGATCCTGAGTTGGGTGAGCGCCGTAGATTAGTTGCTACCCACTGTACACAAACACAACAATAGCAAAATTGCTCAGTTAGTTGTTTCTACTGAAGCCTGCTGTCTGATAAAAGTGAGTAAACTAACAGATCCCGCTGAAAAAAAGTAAACATCTTCACATTATGGCTGCATAAGCAATGGTCAATGATGCATCTCGCCCCCCCCCCCTCCCTTTTTTTTCACCCACAACTAGAGCATAGAAACAGATTGCATTGCATTCCACTTTACAATTGGCTACTTCAACAAATTATGAATGGGTTATTAGGGAATTCAAAAGGCAGATCTAATACTGAGAGAATATGCATGTGAAAACACAAGAAAAAACAATGTTCACTAGATTAAGCTTCTATTTGTTGTACACACTTACATAGCACATAAGTTTGGAAAGAGAAAATAAAATAGGTGTGGTTCCATTCCTAAATTAGATGTATGATATAGGGACAAGTCAGAAGTCACATTCATTTTAACTTTGCTAAAACAGCCACTGTTCAATTCCTTATTACATTCGAGTTCTTGGTAACACTGGTCCCACAGACGTTGACTTCCCAAACTGACTATTCAATAAAACCTAATATCAACAGTCAACACTTCATCAAAGCCTTTGATCATGGGCTTATTCAAAATTTTAATGGCTTTCATTGATATGTGTCTCCCCCTTATTTAAATTTCTTACAAGTACATTCATTACAGTAAAATTTATAAGGAAATCCTATAAATTTTTACTCGGTTATCAAACTGCTGAAACTTCCCTTTGCAAATTACAATGGACTGAATGATATGTATAACCTTTGTGCCATCAATTCTCATTTTTGGTTGAGTGTAGCGTTTGGAACATGAAAACCTAATGCTAAATAAATCAAATCCTCTCCTAACTTTACGCCAGTATAATTGTTGCTGTGCAGTAAGGAGGTATGGCCTGATGAAACTATCAGATAGCTGTTTATATAGCAAAGCAATAACCATATCATGTCCCATACTATCAACAAAAAAGATCCACATTAGTAAGTAACATTGCAAACTAATGGGTCAAAGGAGGAAATTGAGAACAGGAGATAATAAAGGTTTAGGAAATATTGCCAACAACAAACATAATAAAGAGGCAGAACATACTAAAAGCAAATAACTGTATTATATTGATACAGATAAGAATTAATAATTAAAAAATACCTGTGCTACATCCTTAGAGAACCCTTCATGCACAAGAGCATCCAGAACATATTGCTTTGATGGAATCTTCTTCATCATAACAGTAAGAGTCACATAAGATTACTGCTTAACACAATATTAATATAAATATAAAAGACAATGAGTTTAACAAATATTTGAAGAATGAAGTACACCCATATAACTGATGCAAAAGCATAGAAGAAACTTCACAAGTCAATTGATTTCAAGCCTACTCTAAGCGATAAATTAAATGATAAGTTTGTTTGTGTCCCTTTAATGCATATTTTTGGCTCACTCATCATGGCAGCATATAGTACTTTGCACAGAGCATATGTAGAAGTATGGAATAATCTAAAACATAGATAGGAATAATGCCATGCATTTAATTTTGATTTTATCAAGCAGCAGCAATGTGTATATACTATGTTACTCGGACTCTTTCATTAACCTCACGTGTCCGTGTCGACACGACACATGTCGGACACCGACACCGACACTTGGACACTTCATTTTTAACTAAAAACAAAACTTTTTCCAAGAAAATGGACGAGTCCGTCCAGTCCGATGCTTGGACACCCGTGTCTAATTTGACACTTCATCCGAGTCCAAGTAACATAGTGTATATATAACATCAGTTCAATTCAGCTATATTTGTGCTGAAATAAATGCAGCATTATAATTTGTGTAGCAGCATCATTAAATTGCTTGAGCATGTGAAAATTTATTGCAAGGGTTTAAATCATTTACATGGAAGGATGATACAGCTTTTTCTTTTTCTTTATCTTTTTTTTTTTTTTTTTTTTTTTGGCGACTTAGATACAAAAGTCAGTACCTTAAGAAATACAGGAAATTTCAGCATAATGATGAAGCAGTGTTTTCATCGGGTGTGTGGGAATTGGAGCAGCAAAACAGTGGGAGTTACATAAATAATTAAGGAAGTTATTTCTTTAAGCCTTTACATGGACTAGTTGGCATTTTTATTGCAATATAGCCTATTCTATTTTACAGTTTTTGCAAGGTTAACCAACTTGGATTTATACTCCCGCAATTGCAATCTAATCTACACACTTTATAATTTTGCACTATCCACTTACTCCACTTTGAAAGGCATTGGCTCATTGCCCATAATGGTGATTAATAAAAAAAAATTCAAATTGAAATCTTTTTAGAATTTTCACAATGTATATTTTCAAAATATTAGCTTTAATGTAAATTTTCATTATTGCTAATTAAAGAATGCATCAACAAGCCTGAGTAGATCAAATAGTATTTACAAGGATGAAGGCCCAGTTCTTTTGGACTGGATGTAGCTAAATTGAACAAAAACTACAGTAGCAGAACTGAACCTAACTTAATGGAACTTAATGGAGCGATATTGAACTGAAAATAGTTAAGATAATGAATTAAATGGAGCAGAGCTGTGCAGAACTTAAATTCTAAAAAAGTAAGTCCAAAAGAACATGGCTAAGACTACTATATTATTTAGGATTGCCTTCAAGTCACGAGTAGAGGTAAAGATGGGCATCGTGTCGTGTCGTGCCTTCGCGGGCCGTGCTTTGCCGTGCCGGGGTGGGGCTCGTGCCGTGCCATGCCGTGCCGGCTTGGTGGCGGGCCGTGTCATGCCATGCCAAGTTTTGGCACACCCTAGCCCATGGCACGGCACGGCCCACGTGCTTGGCGGGCTGTGCCGTGCCGTGCCGCGGGCCACCACGGTTTTTTAATTTTTTTTTTATTTTTAAAAATATATATATTATACAAAATCGATATATATATTACAAACTTAACGTACCGGCGGGCCGACGATCGTGCCCGTGCCGTGCCGTGCCAAATTTCAAGATTTGTGTTCACGGCACGGCCCACGGCCCACAAGTGGGCCGCCGTGCCGGTGGCCGTGCCGGAATCGTGCCGGGCTCGTGCCGCCCGCGTGCCGGCACGGCCCATGCCCACCTTTAAGTAGAGGGCTATAAAATCCATACTAAGCTAAAACATAAAATTTATTCAAGGCTAGATTTGCATAAGCGCATATAAACCCTTGTTTTTAAAAACTGAAACTAAATTCAGGTCCCTTAAATCAAGTGAAAACATAAGTGAAGCCTACAAAAACATATGACCCTGGTGATTGAAGCTTCCTAATCAAACTTAATCCCATAGAGAGAGAACATGATTTTTCAGCCTCTCACCAGATCCCATTCTGCATAGAATGAGCAAAGCAAGGGTAAATATGATGTATCCTTTAGGTAGGTCTGAAAAGTTAGTTTATTCTGCAATAGAATATCCTGCATCGTATAATATGCCCACAAAATTTAATTTATTATTTTATTACTATTCATTATTTCATTATAATTAATTTTAACTGTTGCAAGTACCCCTTGAGGGAATGGGGAATCTCCACTTCTAAAGTGTCTCTAATGGAGTTTGATCCCACATACAAACTTTTATCACTAGACCAAGCCTACTTGGAAAGTGTATACAAATACATAATATACTGTCATACGAAGTATAACATACCAAGCTTGGCTTGGTCTAGTGGTAAGGCATGCATCTCATAGATCCTAGGATCAAGTCCCACTAGAGGCACTTTGGGGGTGGGAACCCTTGCCCTCTCCACCATCAAGGTGCCTAGGGCTATTGTGAATGCCCTAAGGCCCCAAACCCAAGGCCATACTTGTACCTGACCCAAAAAATGATATTGTAAATTTTTACACACTTGTCATATTAAAACACTAGAGCAACACTGCTATTAAGTTTTGATTGCCAATACAAAAACTAACAATTGAATTTGTATATGGCAATACAACCAAGTCTTTTTTTTTTTTTTTTTTTTTTTTTGGGGGGGGGGGGGGGTGTTGTTCCCCTCTACTGTTTTTTTTAAGAAATTCACTCCAAAACCACATAATGGCCATATCTCAATTATGGACCATAATGTATCTCAATTAAGGACTATGTATCCAGTCCCTATCTCTCCTACTCACCATACCCCCTATTAATAGTGTGATTCAATTCTGTCAATTTTGTTGACTTCAAAGAGATAATAGACATAACTCGTTAGTTTCATAAAGTATCATTTTTGTTCTGCCAAATGATGCATACAGTAGCCATCAGTGCAACCAGTGGTCACCTTTCTTTTGAATGCAGACCCCTTATAAAATCTCCTTATCAAGCAAACTATAACCTTGATTTTCAATTTTTCTAAAATAAAGTGAGTTTTAAGTTTCCCAAACTGACCCTTATTTTGAATGAGTGATGAGGAGAGTATGAAAATATTACAACTATAAACACAGTGTTTACAAGATACAAGTCATCTCATTAAGACAACAATATCTGGATACATGAGAGAAAATTAAAGAATCTCAAAGGTCATAGATTTGCAATGAAATTTTGTCAAAAACCACCTTATAAATCCTTGTTTTTGTGAAAACCCACCTTTACCAAAAAAAATGTTGTAAAAAACTACCCTATTAAAACTTTTTGTTGTAATTCACCACCTTCGGTAGGAAAATGAGCTTTGAATTCTAATGATTAAATCGTCATTTGTTTCGTTGTTGGTGGCAAATTACAACAAAATTTTTAAATAGGTGGTTTTTTACAACATTTTTTTTAAAGGTGGTTTTTCACAAAAACAAGGATTTAAAAGATGGGTTCTCACAAATGAAGATATTAATGAACAATTGAACATCAAATTTCATCTCAATGACTGTCTCTAAACACATAAACTTGACCATGAACTCCAAATAATTCCCAGTTTCTCCCAAAAAAGGTAATTAAAAAACAAAAAAGGACCAAGTTAGAGAACAGGAAGGAGAAAGAAAGGAAAAACGGCTTCTATTTTCTACTATCAATAAAATTTGGTAAACTTCCATTAACAAGACTAGGGAGTTTCAACCTTTCTTTCAATGGATCCAATTTACATTAGTTAAACTACCAAAGTAAACACATACTCCTTCCACCCAAATTCATCTAAATGCTTCTCATATTTGGGGTCCCTAAAATCCTCTTCGGACTTCTTTATTTACAGTTATCGGTAATTTTTTTTTTTTCACTCTTTTCAAACTCTCACTCGCCCTCTTCTTCCCCCATCCACTTTCAACTCATTATAGTACAAAGGTAATATTTTCCTTTCCATGCCAATCCCAATTGTAGAAAAGATAAGAACGGAGAAATTATCTGCCTCACTGCCAGCACACTGACACACATGGACTGTAGCACAGAATAAAAAAGGAGAAGCATTTCACATCAAGCAACATCAACAAACCTTTTCAGGCATTTTCCGGAGAAAAGAGATAAGTTCTGCTGGATGATCCTCCCCGTGGCCTCCAGGTTTTACTTTTCCTGGAGTAGCGTCCAGAACCCAAACCTATGAGAGTAAAAGGGAGGATGAACATATTATTAAGAAAGTTTAATATAGAGTAAAAAGTGTAAATATACATGTTCTCCTGAAGTTACAGAGTTGCTGACTACAGATTCGATACACTTGAATCCACATTGTCAAATACAAAAACCTTTAGCCTAATAATATCCACTGTCTACAGAAATTTAGAAAGACAAAAGGGAGAAGGTAGAATCAACAGCCAAGGGAGACATACATGACATTCTCTTAATAAAAAATTTAATCAACAAAAGCAGAAAGAATTGGAACACAGAACATCCAAATGTTACGTCCTTACCCTCACAGGTCGTGCAAGAGGTTTTGCAGCTTGCTCCACCATGCTCAAGACAACTGCAGTGTTTTCCCATAAATATTGATCAAGTAAACAAATGACAATTATTATGATATAAACATCAAGGATATTTAACGCAGTCCAATAAACTACACACCTTTTCCTCCGAAGCTATGACCAACTAAAACTCGAGGTATAATTTGAAGCTGAGCAACCTATAAAGGACAAAAAAGTAGGATTTTAATTAGAATGCTGATCATAACAAGGAAATGAAGAAAAGTTGAGAACAAAGAGGTAGCATGCATTCTTATTACAGTTGACATGACAACCCGATTGATAAGTGAGAAGGCAAGCAAAGCCATCAAACTATTATATTGCCAAAAAGCACTTCAACTGAATAAAAGAAAAGTGACATTTAATTGTAACTTCAATGGTCCATGAAGCATAAAATCACTATCCATCTAACTACCTTAGCCTGAGAAGTTTAACACAAAAAGACAATATGTATGCCCAAAAACAACAGAAAAAAATCTCATGTTAAATTCAAATTCCATGCTATCCAATTAGCAAGGAAAATGCAGATATAAATTTCAAAAGCATAGTCAAGTTGCTAATTCACTGATTTAGACACTGAATGGTAATTGCAAATACACAAACCCACCAAATTCAAGACATCACGACCAGCAGCAGCAACGGTATTGGGCAGTCCTTTCGTAATTGATGCCGAATCACCATGGCATCTCAAATCTACAAGTAGAAACTGTACCAAAAAAGAGAAGTGATCATTCTTCTAAGCTATGGACTAGAATCTAGAAATACAAACCAAAAGATATGACATGCAACCCTTTTAGTATTGTTTACTGCAAAAATAGTTTGGTCAACTTAACCAAAAGCACTAAGAAAATTTAAGCATCTCCAATATCAGAGATACAAATAGCCTTACCCTCCTCACTATACACAATAATTGTTAGATGGACTATGTCATGTAAGCTTTATTTAACACAAATCTCCCTATCAGAAAATCGCTTCCAGCTACAGCATAAAGCTTTATAAAGGAGAGGAGTGGCAAATATACATTGATACCTGTTTTTTTATCCTTTTCCAACCCCCACCCTCCTCACTATACAAAATAATCATGTTTTGAGACCACAAAGAGCTGGAATGCTACATATATGTTATAGTAAATTTAACATAGTAAACTAATGTGGAGGTTACCTGCCACATTGGAAAACTTTTAGCCAACCTGCGAGCAAAGGAACCTAACATAAAAAAGAACGTGAAAAATCAATGTTAAATTTTCACAAACTAGATCAACATATACACACCTCCCATCAAAAGTAATCCAAAATTTTCACTACTGCATTTCCCAATTTTTGCAAGCAATAACCAGTAAAGCTAAAGCAAGATATAGATAAGTTACTTGACTTCATTGAAAGTGCATATCCAAATTTCATAAAAGAAAATCAACAATAGCTTGTATCAGTTGTATGTATCTCCCACCTTCACTACAAAACTAGGATACATACCCCAATTCTTCCGACAGCCAAGAATGCCATGGATAAGAACTGCAGTTGGTGGTTCAGGTACTGACTTGTCCATAAGAGAGCTCCATTTGACCTGAGACATAGAAATGTCAACGTAATTCAGCAATAAGCTTGGAGCAAGAAAGAAAAAAAGAGAGTAGAGATTTTGTGTTAAAAAAGAATACAGCATGTACTTTATTAGCTCCAACGAGCCCTCTAACAGATGCATAAACAATGTAAATATTACAGGTGAAAAAAATACACATTATCACAGAGAATCATCATAGTTTCAAGCCCCAGACACATTCTGAAATTATGAATACAATAAATCAAAAATTGGCAAGCAACACCTTTGCTAATAGGTAAATCTCAACACAATAAGTTCAATGATTGATATGCCAATCTACTCCTGAAGATTCCACGAAACAAGTAAAGAGATGTGACAACAGATCTAACTTGATCCACAAAACTAGATATTATAGTTGTTACATTCAAAGCAGCCAAATTTATAGCAGTCTACCATTCTTACTTTTCTATATCTTATCTAGCTAAAGCACATTTTCTATCTCTACAATTTTGTATTAGAGGGACTGAGGGAGGCAATCCAAGGAAAAAGACACTACAATAATAAATATTGGCAAACCCTTTAACAGATTCAAGCATAATAAGCTCTAGTGGACAACCATTACCATAAATCACAATTTACAGTGGCTCTTTTGATAAAACCCTTGTGGTCAACTAGTCTAGAATGCCAACTAGTTCTACAATCACATGTATATCTAGATTCCAACATAGCAAAGAATTTAGGACCTCATGCTTAAAATTATAGTAAGGAAAAACCATATTCTAAACAACAAAAATAATTAAAGAAAATAGAGATAACTGGTCACTTACAAGAGCTCCCTGCACTAGATCATATGCCTGCAAATACAAGTCACTTATTTTGGTCAATAGAAGTAGCATATATGTATATGATAAAAAGTACTGGTAAATTTCACACATACAACAAAAATGTAGACGTAATACCAATGTTCCAAATTGCTTGCCCACATACACATTACGCGTGAGCCTCTCATCCACCAATGCCATATTAAGAGTCAAACCATTACTAACACTTGTCGAAGAGCATGACATGCGAAGTGCTGTACTCTACAACAAAAGAAAAAATAAAATAAATAAATAGATAAAGAGATCAAAACTAACTCTTATAACCTCACACCCTCCACAAAAAAAAAGGGGGGGGGGTGTTAATCGGTTAATCATACCTAACATGAAACAGGGGCTCATAGGATTGATCTGTAGCAATAAATTGTAGTACTTGTTCAATTATTGTGTTGAGTATATTCGAAATAGATCTTATATAGGTTATATTATTTATTAGTTTCTTATGACAAAACCATCAATGCTAATAATCTCAACTTTTACAAAACTAATGATTGCCCCCATCTTTGTTATTTGGCAAGTAAGGTGAATGGACCAACTAGTCCTGTACTCCCAATAAGACTTTAGGAGTCAAGCCTTCAAACCCCTTGGAAATTGAAGGAAAGAAAATAGTCTTAAATTTTAAGGATTTGTTTTCGGAGAGTACATTGAGTTTATGAGTTTTCATAAAAATCTGTGTGAACTTATGAGACGCATGTTCATGATGAGACTAAGAGAGAATTCTTATTCGCCTCAAATTGGTAATGCAAGCAATTGGTTTTCCTAATTATAAATGATCCCATGATAGGAGAGGCCAATTCATATCAAATTTCCACCCCACAAGTGTTGCTTCTAGTGGAGTTTCATCATATAAGTATATAACCCCAAATTTTGAGAGACCACCACTCGACTAAGTATTACTTGGTCATTTGTTTCAATCTTGTGTAAGGCTATGATTAAATTAAAAAAATTTCAAAAATAATACAAGTTTGGGTCATATAATTCAATAGATATGAACTAAAGTTACCTTAATTCAATAGATAATCCATAGATATACTTAAAGAAAACCCATATAATCATTAAAAAAACACAAACCAATGCTTTGTGCTTTTCAAAACTCCCTTATTAAGTTATGCAACCTAAAATCTTTAATCCGCGTCGCATCTCATTTTTTTGGACTAAACTTTACAGTACAACCAATGAGCCAAACAATCACTTTTAATCCATGTCGTATCCATCTTTTTTGTCTAAGCTCTAAACTACAACCAATGAGCCAAATAGTCCCTTTCATAGTCTGATCACATCACTCACAAATCAAGTTAAATTTCGATATAATTATATTTTATCAATGACAATCAAACTAATTCAGCAAAAAATGAAAAAAAATCATTATATTCAGCAGTATAAGCATTAAAAACATAGACGACAACCAATACTACAAACCGTATTCCACAAATTAAATACTCCGTACAAAAATACTTCCAAAATAAAGTATTAAATAAACATTAATAACACCGATCAACACGTGAACTCATCACGAACACCTCCAAAACTAGTGAGCATCACTCAATAAAATATACAATATAATTCAAATTAAATACACTCCAAATTGAAAAAGTGAAATTAAGCAAAACATAAAAACAGTCTAATTACTATTTAATTAACTAATAACACGATAAAATGAAAAAACTCGCACCTTAACAGATTTGAAAGGGAGATTAGTGCCGAACCAATCGGACCTAAGCGTTGATCGTCTCTCCTCGGAAATCGCCGGCGTCGAAGCGTATAGTAAAACAGCAGAAGAGGTTGAAATTGACGACATTCTTACGACGATGATGAAACTGGCGAGAGGAAATGGAGGAGAGAGAAAGAGGAAAGTAGAGAGAGAAATCGGCGGTAGGCGGAGATGCCGAAGCGCGCTCTTTTTTCTCTCTCGCTTTCTTTCTTTTTCAGTGTCTCACTGTTACTTTGTGTAGCGCTTCGTCGTATTTGACGCGGTTGATGATTTCTAGTTTTGTTGCTTTCGTGATTTGGACTAACTCATGAGTTATGACTTATGACACTTGTTCAAAAAAGTAGTTAAGAGTTAGGGCCTGTTCCGATTGACTGAACTGAACTGAGCTGAACTGAACTTATTAATTAGTGATTTTTAACTACGGATTAGTGATCTTTGATTATTTATTGATTATTTATTACTATACATATGTGTATATACAAATGTACATATTATTATTATTATTATTATTATTATTATTATTATTATTAATTATTGATGATTATTATTATTATTTATTGATTATTATTATTATTATTATTATTGTTATTATTATTATTATTATTATTATTATTATTATTATTATTTATTGACGATTATTAGATTATTATTATTAGTATTATTATTATTAGTATTATTATTTCAATTATTATTGTTATTATTATTATTATTATTATTATTTATTGATGATTATTATTATTATTATTATTATTTATTACTTATTGATTATTATTATTATTATTATTATTATTATTATTATTATTGTTATTATTATTATTATTATTATTGTTGTTGTTGTTGTTGTTGTTGTTGTTGTTGTTGTTGTTGTTGTTGTCGTTGTAATAAGAGCTTAAAAGAATGAAATTTGGCTTTATATCATTAGCAATATCATTAGACGTAAATTAAGAGCTGAACCGAAGTGAACTGAACTGAATAACGGAAGAGAACAGGCCCTTAGAGCCCACAATTTAGAATATAAACCCGGTTTCCAATTTGGGAGTTGAGGATTTGAGACTCCGTTTGTTTTTATGAAATTTAATTTTTTGAGAAAATGATTCTCTATTTCTACACTTAAACGAACGATTTCCCTAGAAATTGTTTAATTATAAACTTATTCCCTAATTGCGTCGGTTTTAAAACTAATTTCCATAGTTACTGTCCACGTAGGATCGGGTGCCTATTTAAAAAAAATAAAATAAACATTAAAACCGCTAATGATGTTTGCGGTTTTACAACTTAAACCGTTGTTAATGGTAGCGGTTCTATTTAAAATATACTTACCCAATCTTCTTTCCTACTTCAATATGTCGATTAAAATACTATTATAAACCCCCACCCAAAAAAAAAAACACAGAGCAACGATCATTCATAGAAAACGATCACCACGTACCTCTCCTCTACGGCGTTTGACGACCTCCGGCGACCACCGACTTCTCACCACCGATATTACACTCCGCCGCGGGAAGAATTCTTCACAATCGTGTTTTAACTTTAATTGCAAGAGGTTAGCCCTAATTTTTCTTTCATTTTTTAAAATTATTTATCACGATAATTGTGGTTTGATTCATAATTAAATTAAAATTAGGTGTATATATATGGGTATGTAATTCCTAAATTGTGTATTTAATTTTGAGGGTTTAATTGGATGCTTGCTTTATTGTAGTGGTGAATTGTTGTTTATCTCTGTTCTAATAATATGTCTTCTCCAAAGAATATCATTGCATGCAGTAATAATGTATCTGTTATTTAATTTTTTTGATGGTTTATATTTGATATTTTGGTGTTCTGTAACTTTTATGCTGGAATTCTTTATCTAGAATATGGAGCTGTCAAATTTCCCCCTTCTCTGTTATATGGACCGGGAACTTGTAGAAAAAGAAGGTGAGGTATCATATTTGGGCGGGCAGAATAGATTTTTATTTATCGGTATTTCTATGACTTTCTCAGAGGTTTTGAGTAAGATTTATGAAGTTACAGGGTGTGATTCTCGATATTTTGAGTTGAAGATGAGAATGAGGTATCTTATACATAATTCATATGTAACTGTTGAATTGAAAGATGATAGCTCATTAAGAAATATGTGGGTTGCTGTGAGGCAAAATTCAATGTCTAATATGCAAATGTATCTAGAAATGGTTCCCAAGCAAGCAAGTGTGTTGGACAACACGGGTTCTTTTCCTTCAATTCATTCTTTATCGGGTATGCACTCTAATGAAGGGAGGGGGTCTTTTACAAGAATGCTTACAGATGATCATTACATTGTTGATCATTTGTTGGATGTGACTTGTCCAACCCCCTCTCCTGATATAGGTAATGCCTTGTTTGGTGATTATAACTCATTTAACCCCGAGCTAGATATGTTAGGGCTTGGTTAGCCAAGCAGAAGGCAATCACTACCATTTTTGGGGATTGGGATAAATCATATGAAGAGTTGCCCAAATTTATGCAAGCCTTAAGAGAGTCAAATGAGGGAACTGTGGTTCATCGGTGTATGACACCGACATTAGATCCTTCTACTCATGTGTTCCAGAGAGTGTTTTGAGCTTTTAAACCATCTATTGATGGCTTCAACCATTGTCGGCCACTTATTACTATTGATGGCACCCATCTTTATGGAAAGTACAAGGGGACACTTCTCATTGCCATGGCCACAGATGCAAACTTCCAATTGTTTCCTCTTGCTTTTGTCGTTGTTGAAGGAGAGACAGGTGATGCATGGGAATGGTTCATGTTATGCATACGACAATCAGTAACTAACAGGAAGGGCATTTGTGTCATATCAGATAGCCATGCCTCGATATTGAAAAAAATGACCGCGGAGGGAAGTGGATGGGAAGAGACACATGCTCATCACAAGTTTTGTACTCGTCATCTAGCCTCAAATTTCAACACCAAGTTTAAGAATGCTCACTTGAAAAACCTATTTGTTCAAGCTGCAGATGCACGTCAAAAGAATAAGTTTATATACTACTTAATAGGATTGGTGAAATGAACTTGGAAGCTCGTGAATGGTTGGCAGAGAAACCATTGTATAAGTGGTCAATCTATCATGACGGTGGTTTTAGATACGGTATACGAACCACAAATATGTCAGAATGCTTCAATGGCGTGATGAAAGGGGCTCGCTTTTTACCTATTACTGCTAGTTAAAATGACGTTTTATAGAGTGAATTCCTACTTTGTGACTAGGCGTGGTTGGGGTAAAAGAAGACTGCAAGAAGGCTATGAGTACAGTGAAAAGGCATTAAATACTATCGAAAATAACCTTCAAAAATCAGCAGCCCATAAGGTTGATCCTTTTGATTATAAGAAGGGTTTGTTTGCAGTTGAAACTGGATGCGATAATAGATCTTCTGGAAAAGGTGGTCATGTGCATACTATAAATCTTTTGAAAAGAACTTGTACATGTCAAAAATTGACCATCTATAAGCTTCCATGTTCTCATGTTTTGGCTGTTTGTTGACATCGAAGCTTATCGTACGCTGATTTTGTTTACTCTTTCTTTAGAACAACAGAGTATAGGGATACTTATAAGAGTACTTTTATACCTGTTCCCGATGTGTCGAGATGGTCTCCATATGTTGGCCCTAAAATTATTGCTCCTCCTAGTCAAAAGCACGCCCCTGGACGCACCCCTTCTAGCAAGTTTCGAAACGAGATGGATGAAAAGACACGAGCAAAAAAACAATGTAGCATATGTCATTTTAGAGGGCATAATAAGAAGATTTGTAGATATAGGAATAGCGGTCAAAGTTCAGGGCAATTTTTATTTAATTTTTTTTATATATAGTTTATATTAGTGAGCATGCTTTTGTTTACATTCAATTGCAGTTATTATATTTGTAATCATTAGGTAACTTATTTGCATTTATTTTGAATTTCAGGTCAAATGGTCCACTCGGGCCCTCTTGATCATTCCGTTCTTATTTATCAGGAGGATCATAGGAGTGAGGATGTGTGGAAGGGGGTGGCACGAAGGGATAAGGTACTGTCTTGTAGGGAGCATTTGTTTTCTTTGACTCGAGATTGGGTAGTAGATGATCGAATGCTAAGTTATGTTAAGCAAGCAGGCTTCTATGGAGTGCACAGATTACGATGTTCTGTTGGAATTGATCGACCCCTCATTACTGCTTTGGTGGAGAGGTGGAGACAAGAGACGCATACATTCCATTTGACAGTTGGTGAGGCATTGACCCTTTAGCTTGCAGGTAGTACCTCACAGTCTAATTCTTGGTATTGTTTTTGTAATTTTTTTTTTTTTAAATTGAACTTTTTGGCCTATTTCAGTTGGTTACGTGTATACTTTACGCGTGTGGAATCAGCTAGTGGTGGCCTTTCATATTATAGGGATGCATTGGATCACCAAACTGATGAGCAGGTATCATTTTCATAGATGTATAGACACTTCAGTTAATAAAAAATTCTGAATATATACTATACTTGCAACTAGGTTGTAGTCCATTTGTCAGAAAAAGAATAGAATACAATAAGATCAAACAGAAAGTTTAAAAGAGAAACCAAACATACTTGTATTCATCTATTACGAATATGTGCCTGAAAGTAGCATAATAAGTCAATGCTCATGCAGGTAAGCTAAGTAAAGTGAAGGGTGGGTCTGATATAAGCATTATGCATTTTCACACATATTTTGCTGACAATATTAAATAATGACTATTCACTACTTTTAATAATATAAGTATTATGCAAATATGGATTTACACATATATTACGTTGGCAATTTGAATGTCATCTCTTTGACATATGCTCTTAACAGATGACATGGCAGCCGTATACGGAGGATATTCTTTCTTTACTTCCGGATATATGTCGAAGCGATAGACATGTGTGGCGTACTTGCTCACCACTAATATGCTTTGACATTGTTGAGTATCATCTACTCGATCGAGTGATGCGTCAGTTTGGATTTAACCTAACTATCCCTCTTCCGTGTAGCACAAGTGATTCACTTCATTGTATTGATCGTAGAGGTGCAAAAAACAAAAATTATGTCAAGATCCATGCCAAGTATTTAGAAGAATGGAATAAGCGGGAGGATAGAGTTGTTAGTGACACTTTTGCTAGGGGTCAAACAGCAACACTGGATGCCTATTTATCTTGGTATAGGACAATAACAAAGCTTATTATCACTCCGCCGGACCAAGAACGTCCTTCAATTAAATATCAGCCCGCTACTAATGAATTTGTGCTTGTAAGATATACACAATGTTGCTTATGTGAATTAGATCTGATCACATTTAACATTAACTGAGCTAACTATTTTTTATTTTATTTCTTTTTAGTCTGAAACAGTCGCTGAAGTGGTGAGCAAGTGCACTCATGTGGAAGAGACTACTTTCGATTTGCCTTACGACAAAGCTTTGGAGTTAGCAATGCACACCTTACGAAGCTTAGCAAGTTCCTGCACCGAGACCTTACATAAAGTTGGCAAAGCATACATGCTCCACGATCTAGGTGTCACTACTTCCACTGCCACTCCTACTTCTACTGCTGCCACTCCTACTGCCACTCCTGTTTCTACTACTTCTACTCCTATTACTACCACTCCTCCTCCTCCTCAATGTACTCCTCTTCTTCCTCCTACCTCACCACTTACTTCTATCATATCACCATATACTACACTCAGCCCATCTTCATTGTCTTTGATTTACGAGTCTCCTCCTCCTCAATCTAGTACTCCCCTACTGCCATTAACCTACAAGAGACGCTCACGCACCACGAGCTCTACTATTTCAGAGCTATCACCAATCACAGAGGTGGATGAATATTCATTTGGATCGTCGGAACATCTTTCAAAGAAGCATCGTGGATCCTAGGTGTTAGATAGCTAGTTAGACGCAATTTTTTGGTCTACATTTATATGTATGTAACATATGATTCATATTTAAAATTATGTTTAGTTGGAGAAATGCATATGGTCTTTTGATATGTATATATTCAACCGGATAATCTATGCAAATGAACTTTGTCTCTGAGGAATGAAATTTTTGTTGGTTTGTGACAGGTTGGTTCTTTATAGGCATTATGCCTTTATTATTTCTGTGGTTAATTTTTTTTTGTGCACATTTTATAGATTTATATAGCAAGTATAAATTGAATGGCAAGGTCACAGGTAAAGACCGCTAGTACCATTTGCGGTTTATGTAGCAAGATAAATGTATAAAACCGCTAATGGTGATAGCGGTTTTATAATTTTTATAAAACCTATAAAACCGCTATCACCATTAGCGGTTCTATACTGAACCAGAATTAAAAAAAAAAAAAAAAAAAAAAAAAAAGAACCTTCCCAGCCGATCCTACGTGGACAGTACCATGGGAATTAGTTTTAAAACCGACGCAATTAGGGAATAAGTTTATAATTGAACAATTTCTAGGGAAATCGTTCCACTTAAACTCGTGAAATGCACGGCCGTTCAATCTGTTGTAATTTTTTATTTTAAAAAAATAAACATTAATAAAATACTGGAAATTTTTCAAAAATAATATTACAATCTGTTAAATTTTAGTTGTAACTTTGGAATATTTTATATCTCACAAATAATATCTAATGTTGCAACTAAAAGTTAATGGAGGTAGTACAACCTTTGGCCGTTTTTTTTTTTAAAATAATACAACCTTTGGATTATTTTGTAATAATGCAACCTATAGGAGGTGTTAATTTTAAAGAAGACAAATTTGATTTTTTGGTGAATTTTGAGGCTAGGAAAGGGAAAGGGTTGAGTTTTTTGTGGTGGGGATGGAGAAGGGGGAAATTAGGGCTGGCCAAAAAATCCGATCCGTGATCCAGCTGATCCAATCCAAAAAATTGGATATCCGATCTGGTTTTTTTAACTTTTGGATCGGATTCATATCACGAATCCAGAAAATCGGATATCCGATTCGATCCGATTTTCTATATTAAAAAAAAACTTTAACAAAAACAAACTCACTCCAAACATTCCCCTGATTCAGCCATTCACCCAAAGCATAAAAGACCAATAATGTCCTAAATTCCCTCCCACAGTCACACATATTTCCACCCACCTCTTTCACTTATTCGTCCACTCGCAACGTCGCACCGCAGTCACGGATTACCACGCACAGTTCCAGCCAATCACCCACCACTTCCTCACAACCCTCACCACCTCATTGGAGCAGCTGCAGCGAAGCTGCAAACCTACAAATCAACATTCGGTCCTTCGTGTTCATTCCATAATAGATCGCTTTCACATAAATCTTGAATTAAGCAATCCACCGCTTGTATTCCTTGCAATTTACTTTATGGCCTGTTTGGATATGGGGATTTCATTTGAAATTCTTATTTGGGCCAAATGGCCTGTTTGGATGATACAAGCATTTGGCTTTGTATTTGGGTCAAATCCATGCAAACCCAAGCCTTTACAAAATTAAGTCTAGCTTAATTACTTTCAAATTCCATCTCACATATTGTCATTTCAAATTCTCCACTTGCCCTAATTTTCTCTCTCCTACTCTATTCCCTTTCTCGATGCTCCAATTTCTGTCTCCTCCATTGAAGCAGCTCGATTTTCTCTCTCCTCCATTGAAGCAGCTCGTGAGCTTGCCCGATTTTCTCTCTCCTCCATTAAAGCAACGCATGTGAGCATCCATTATTATTGAACCGACTTGTGAGGTATAACCTTCTGAACTAATCGAATATCAATTTTTTTGGGTGTTTTTGTCCCTCGGGAGAGTTACAACTCGAGAACTAATCCGACTGGGCCTGTACCTGCAAAATAACGGAGACTTCGGGTGTTTGGAGCTCCTTCTTCAACGGTCAAGTTAGTACTTGAATATGAGTAGGAGAAGGTGCGGAAAATGAAATGAGATCTTCTCATATTTTAAGATCAGGTGTTCTTTGTTGTGAGAAAATGTAGGGTAGGTGTAATAAATGATTGAATGTGTCCCAAAATTTGGGGAATATCTCCCTATTTATAGGATCATTGGAGAACGTGCCCCTTCTAGGTCATTTGACCTAGATTTGGTGGGCTGCGCCGTTTTGCGGCGTTCTTGGAAATTGGGCCTTGAATGCCGCAATTTCTGGAAAACATCTTAGGCTAACACGTGTTAGCTGGAAACTGGCCCAAATGGACCTGCCAAGGCTTGAAATGTGGCTCTCTCTGATTAGCCCACGTGGACAGGATAATTTTACCCAAAACATTTGCCCCCCACAAGTGGCACGTGGCTGGCCACGTGGCGCCTGTGACACACGGCATTCTGTAAACGGTGGATAGTAAAACTATTCACCTTCTAGGGTTTTACAGGGATGCCCCAGCTTTTACCCTTCTATAATAGAAGGTTTTACCCTCTCTCTCCCCCCATTTCACACCTGAGTATTTGACTTTTTAGAGAGAGAAAGAGGGCTTTTTGGAGAGAGAAACTCTTCATCCGTCTGCTTGGTGTAGCTGTTTTCAGATTTCCATAGCTAAGTTAAAGGTAACCGCCTATACTCCTTTCAAGTTTTTTATACTTTTCCGCTTGTGTAGTTAGGCTTCAAAAATAAAATGGACTCTCCATCGACCTACACGGCACTGCCTATGTCATTCAGCCGGTCTCTTGGTACAGCTGAATCTAGAACCGAGGGTGCCTTTTCTAGAAATTTGTACCTGCTTTTCTCATCCCCGAACACCTCCGTCTTTGTGTCTATGCAAGACACCATGGCCAGAGTCAAACAAACGGCTATCAAGCCGAGCAAGTGGCGCGCTAGAAGAGTGCCTACTGATAAGTTATTCCTGATGAGGAATATGAGGATTCGGAGGAAGAGCAAGAGCAGGCGGGCTCTACTCCGGGTGACACCCCTTCAACCCCTAGTGACACAATATTTGATGGGGCAGACGGCGAGGACGATGCCTCGTCCTTAGAGTCAGATGAAGAGGGGTCAGGCGGCGAGGAAGCCGCCGAGAGATCCGGCTCTAAGGCGTCGGTCTCTGACCAAGAAGATATAGCGGCTGAGTATCAGCAGCCGGCTAAAGGGCCGAATTAGCCAAATCCCTTAACAAATAAAATGCTTCCTAGGGACTTAGCTGTTATACAAAGGAGCTTTAGAGCTTTTGTAGATGCACATCCGATAAGGAAAAGGATGGAGAATAGAGGTTCCTCCACCTGTGGCAACGATTAATTGGGAGGATGATATTGAGAACACCAACAACTGTTTCGGTTGTTATGAGGCCGTGATTAAAGCCGGCCTCCGCTTCACCCTTCACAAAGGGATTAAAAGGATTTTGAAGGGGTATGACGTGGGCGTCTGGAAACTTACCCCAAACTCGTGGATTAACATCCTGGGCTATATTTCCACCTGCGAGTATCAAAACATCTAGCCTAGTTTGTTGCGTTTGCTCATATGCATGATATGAGCCGGGCACAGGCTGGTATGGTGCGTGGTACACTCTCACCACACACCCGCAATACGTAATGACTTGGACAAGCCGTCCAAATGGTCTGGCGGGAAGGACAATTAAATTCTATTTGATTTGCTCTTAAACTCTGGGGCACAACCAATTCCTTCGCCGGTACAATCAAGATCCGGAGCTACTCGGAAAGAAGTGTGCCCTGCCCCGGATGTCTTCTAGGGCTTACGAGCAGATCATGGAGCCGGGCTTTTTTAAGACAACAATTATGCCCTTAGAGGATGAGACTCAAATAATTGTTCCTAGGAACTGGATACCTCATCCGGACTTCTTTAAGATCGAGGCCTTCCTCTCCGCATGTGGGCTTAGCCCTATGTTCAAGCAGGGTAGACCTATAACACACCCGAAAATTTGTCGCCTGTATTAATGCCTTATTTGTTTTTTGTTCATCTTTTGACCAACTGTTTTCTTTGTCTTTACAGAAGAAGGGAAGAACATGGTACTTCCAGAGATGACGCCTTCCAAGTCGGCTGCTCTTCTGAGGAAGGAGCAGCTTCTGGAGAAGAAGGCAGCCTTGGATGCCAAGGAAGCTAAGAAGGGAGGGGTAAGCCGCCTGCTAAACTCAAAATTCCGGTTGTACCCCCTTGATAAGTGTCATTTATGTCGCTATTTTTAAGAGATTTCTAGTTAGTTTTTCATAGTTTTTATATCTTTTTACTTGGTTTTAATAACGTTTTACTACATTTGTCATGATTGCGTGTGAAATGTCGTTATTGCTCAATTTTGGCTTTTCTTGCATATTTTGGTTGCTTATGGCATTAGATTAAACTTTATTGGTTTATTCTTATGTTTAGGAACACAACTTTTCACATTTCACTTTGTTCAATTATCAAATGACGTGAAAGATATTCATCACTGGGTTTGGTTTTTGGGGAGACAAAATCAGGTGTCTACAATACGAATCCAACCTTAAGCTAAAAGAGATTGAACCCGCCCTAAATAGGCCTCTACTTTATTCTTCTCATATTTATGTGCGCTTTCTGATTAACATACAATTATTAAATTAATCCTAAGCATATTTAATCTATGTTGGTTGATTATTAACGTACAAATAAATCTATTATTGTCGATCACTTGAATTAAAGTCACATGAGCCTAAAATCAAATTATTAATTATCTTACTAAGCGTAGTTTCAAGTACAAATTCTCTTAAATCCTGCAAAAGAGAGCGTAGTCAAGTACTAACAATAATATCATGAATAATCAAACAATGTATTATCATTATAATAATTGACACAACAATCATCATCATAATATTCTCAACGCATAATAATATTAGCAAGATCTTAGGCATGATACTAACATGATTAATAAAAAATCCTAGCATGTCACTAAACAATAAAAATCAAAACTTTATCATAAACATGGTACTAGAAAGCAATAAAATATTAGAAATATTAATTTACTCCCTAAACATAATGCTAAGAATTAATAAAATAATCTAAGCGTGATTCCTAAGGAAATAGAGCAATTGAATTACTCACTTTGAAGCCTCGTACCTCTTTCTATTAAAAAGAATACATACGTTAAACAAATAACATTAATTGAAATATAAATTTTGGACCAAACCCTCACAAATATCAACCTTTTAAGTCGAGG